GTGGCTTACTGTTTGATTCAGTCCCGTAGCTGAAGTAAAAACAATTATGAAAATAATTTAAGGCTAAAACTGCCAAAAATATAATTATTTTCAGTGATTAATCTACATATTATTTTATTGATAAATCTATAAATTGTTTAGTCCACAAAATATCAAGAAAAAGTGAAACATGCTGATTACATTTCACATCTATAGATAGTCTTGTTTTTCATTCCGAAACACAAATATATTGAATTTACTGTCATAGAAGAGAAAGAAAACCAGCATCATATTAAATATTTACATTTGAGAAGCTGCGACCAGTGAATTTTTGGCAAAATTCAACAGTAAAGCGTTAATAACGTGACAAAATTAATTGCAGATTAATTTTCTGTTGATCGATTAATCACTTAATTGGCTCATAGCTTCAGCTCTAAGCAAGTACAGATCTGAGTTGGAAGATCATGCCATTTTTTTCCTATTTGCACTAAATTTCTGGGTTGTTTCATTGTTTGCTAAATAGCAACATCAACCACACAAAAGGTGGTCAAAAGAAAGATTTTTCTGTTTAATGGGGTTGATTTTTCTATTCAAACAAAATATTGTCCCTCATCTGCCCTGGCCCCTGCACGTCTCCCCGGCTGGCTTGCTGGTCGACTGTTTTGGTGTTGGACTGTGCACGGCACTGCACTTCATCTTCTTTGCTGACACATGGGAACAGGGAGCAGCTTGATGACCTGTCTGCCACGGTTCAAGCTCTCTACGACTGCAGCAACTCTCCTCTCTCTCGCCAGTTGTTCCTGTAGTTGATCTCGCTGCAGATTTGTAACTGGATCTGTGTAACCCTGCAGATTTTACACTGACTGAATCGTAATCTCATTTAGAGACTGCTGCATGTTGGATTTATACCAACGTGCAAATTATATTCAAATAATGAGGCCAAAACCACTACTTCCTGACTATTAATTCACCTGTTTCAGTCGTAATTTGAACTGTCTCCAACAATGTCCAACGTTATTTCCTTGGACAAACTGACTAGTTACCTGAAATTCTCTGATTTCTGTAACATGCTGCTTTTCTGAACAAAAGGTCAGAGCATTTCATCAGCTAAGTCAAGTTATTGTTTAGAATGAACATGGGAGGGTGAATCTATGGTATGATTAACAACGCAGATGTGTTACTGAGTGAGAGACTGTGTCGTCACACCGGGCTGTTGATGATGATGATTCCTTTGCACAGTGAACCTATAACACGATGTATCCTGTGAGGTAATGGGCCATCTGTGTCCCCTGTGCTTTGGGGGAACAATGTGGAAGTTACAAGGTTTTTGCAGCTCAAATAAGGTAGAACTGAAATCTGCTCGGATTGGTTTATTTACAGAGGAGGCTTTCTTCTCTATAGATGCCAGAATAGATGAGGGCCGTAAATCATATTTCATATCTCTTTGATTTTTCTGCTTTCAAATTGAAACTGATGTAAGCGCCTACAGTGTAGTCTCTGTGAACACCTGCTCAGATCATTTTACTGACAGGACTGTTTGTTTAGTTTTCTCATTTTCCCAGGAAGCTTGAGGTAGTTATAAAACACAAGAAACCAAGCTTTGAATTTCATTTTTTTCATTTTTAAGATGATGTTTGTGGATTTCACTGTTTTTTCTCGCAGTAATTTCTAAGGTAAACAACAAGTTTATAATCAGAACAGATGAATAAACAGCAGCACGGCTAGTGATCAGTGTTTGTGACGACGCTGCTGGGGAAAGTATGAACTGGAAAACTAATGTTAGTCAATGCTTTAGCATCACATTAAGCAATGCAAAGCATCCACTTTGTAGCATGATAATCCAGTTTAGAGTCTAGCATGTGATCAGTGGATGTTGCAGTTTGTCTTATCATGATTTTTTTTTTTGTAAGACGTTAATTAATCTGTAGTAGTACCAATGCACTGAGTATTTCATGGTAGAAAAAAGCAAAACAGTTGCCTGCAGTCGAAAGTAATTGATGGGTTGTGGTAGTGGCTATTTCTAGACAATTTCCTCTCACAGTGGCACTCAGGGGAACCGAATCATCTGGAGAGGGATACTAACTAAATTTAGAGCAGGAAAGCATTAGTCATACAAAGTGGTCAGTAGATTTAAGGAAAAATGTCTTAAACATTCATCAGCAATGTCGCTTCAATTGCTCCGAATGTGTCTCCCCCTCCTTCAGGTTCAATGTCGGCACGAACATATCCAAGTTAGCAGTTACATCTCAATAATCTATCCAGTGCAGTTTGTGCATGAGGGCTGTTTGGAGAACAGACCGCTGTTACTGTAATGATGATGCTGGAAGGCTAATGTTCTCTGGGTTAATAGGTAGCCGTTCCCTGTACACAGACATGAACATGAACCACTTTGCACAGTCAAATTCACTACACAATAACTCATGCAGCGGTGGTAAAGTACCCAAATCCTTGACTTGAGTTTATGTTCCAATACCACAATATAAAAATACTCCATTACAAGTAAAAGTCCTGCATTCAAAAG